AAAAAAAAAAAAAAAAAAAAAAAAAAAAAAAAAAAAGACAAGTTTATTTTGCATTTAAATATATTATTTCAAAAGTAAACGAATTGGTTTTCTCTGCGTTTCATAAGCAATGAGGGACATAATAATTCATATTATGTAAACTTAAACTGTAATTCCAACGCCCCATTACTACATAATTAATTACCTGTTATTAATCAGGCACTAAGCATGCACTTACAATAAATTAATGCCCTTACATTAAATCTCTCCAAATGATAAACTAGGTATGAATTGCTTTGGAAAATTGGCCGCGTCCTCTTACAATGGCGTCGATGCATTCCATTTATGATGCCAATTGATTCATCGACATCTCACACAAAACAAACTTCAGTCCAATCAGTCAACCATTGTCACTTCCTTGATCCAAGCATTAGTTATGGAAATTAAGAAAAAAAGTGATATTTGTGGTGTAATTGAGTTCCTAATTCTGAATTTGAAAAGTGACATTTAATCGTTATGGCGGGAATTTTTTGTTTGCTGTTTGTTATTACAAAATATATTTTAATCAAATTTTAGGTGAATAATGAATTAATAAGAGTGCTATAGGAATAACGAAGTTTTGGTTTTAATAGAAAATCAATATTAATCAATGTATACGTTACACAGAGCACCATTTAAACTAATCAATGAATAATGTTTTTTTTTAATTCCCAAAACTATAAGGTGACACCTGACATATCTAAGGACAAATAAATTGTTCCTATTTTAATTTCGTCTAACTGACACGACATCAAATTATCAGAATAGACATCTATTTTGTTAGAATGTCATAAAAGTGATTACCTAAGTTGATGTGAAACAAAGAAAGGATCTAAACAAACAATGAGTCCTTTATCGACTTTCAGGAAAACGAACAGACAAATGTAAGTTTTCAGCGCGTGAAAAACCCATACGATGCAGACTTTGTTTAACATATTGCATTTAACACATTGCATTTGTATAACCATGCATTTATTATGATATCATAACCATAAAATGTATGGTACATTTTCCTGAAGTTTGGTTATTTATAAAACAATAACATCTGATCTTGCTTTTCACGGGTCATGGTTGTAAGGTCATTCCATAGACAATACAAGATCAGACTACTGCCCATCAGGCGTACGTTCAGATGATCTAACAACCAACATCATCTTCAACCACGGCTTTCGGCCTTTTGCATCCACTCCTATTCTCTATGTCTCCTGATGTTGACCCATCTTTTTTTTAACGGTTCCGTCACTGTCTCTTACTAACAAACCGCCATTTTGGTATCAAAATCTCTTATTTAGTACTTCGTAGCCTACCTAATTAATGAGCTCTTGTGAAAGTGCTCGTATGTGCATAAAATATTCAATTATCAGTCGTTTATAAAGGTACATTAAACTTATGTACCTATGTATAATTGGTTGTATAACACGTCCAAAAGAATTTCACCTTGAGTTGCGAAAGCTGTGTGCAGAATCGCTTTGTGACCTGTCAGACTGCCACACACCCGCTGTTACTTGGTTAAAATATTATCTTAACACACGATTATAATCCTTTTCTCGAAAGCCACAAGGCTTTCAATTCCATGCAATGTATCTCACGTCTCGTAAAACCTGGGTTTTCAGTAGGTACTCAAACAAACGACAGTTGGTATCGTTGGTACGAATACATAAGTAATTAAATGACGATAATAATTTTAATGGTGGAAAATACCTAAGTGTAATTAAATTGGTTAAATGTTCGTTTACGACAATTTAGATAATAAGTAGTTAAATAACAGAAAACTTGTACTTCTAGTGGGACAGTTTTAAGTCAGAAATTACTTGAGCTGCAGAAACGTTCTAAAAAGACAATAATATTCTAATCAAAGGATCAGTCACCTCATATAAACAGTCAAAAAATTAGATTATAGGTTTCAACACTGGTCAATAACTTTGAAAAGTACCTTGGAAAATAATATCCTGAACTTCTAAACTAACACTACTAACAGTCGTAAGAAAATGAATCAGCTATCATTTAAGTTTGGACCCACGATTTAAATCGCCTGAAGCGCCACCTAGTCAGGGCAAATTCTGTTTCTACTGTGGAGTTCTTGGTTTTATCCTTGAAGAGTTTTTGTGGGATATTCCCTAGTTGCTTGTATACTTATTATACTACTCATGTTTTATTGAAGAACAATAATTATTATCTCTTAAGTAGGTATGTCTAAAGATTAGAAGCTTAAAATAATCAATTAAAACATGAATCAGAGTGGGTGTAACTTTACCAGTAGATTACATTTCTATTAATACCTATTTACTTATTGTTGTTATATCTATTAATTATGAGTATTAAATATGTAACTACACTTAGGTAAGTAGGTACCTATGAATATTATCATGTCTTATTGCGATTATTCTGTCTACGTTTCTATAGTATGGGACTTTAAATAGAAAAGATGACGTTTTTGAGTAGCAGAAAAAAAACTTACAAAACAGTTTTTTTTTTTGGAAATAGATGATTATTAATAGATTATTTTTAGTTTTTATCGGTCTTTAAGCAACTATACGTATTTATACGAACCCAAGGAAAGACCGAAAGATGTAGTAGTACCTGCCGAGCCACGTTTTAAAACAATTTAACCTGATTATTTTAAATAAACATGCAGTCAGGCAAAGTGTGCAAAACCTTATCTGACCATCGGCCTCCTTTCCACACGTGGAAATGTGTTAATCTAACTAATTAGCCAACATAAAACCTACAACATAAAATTAACCCTACACTCCTCATAACAGAATCTATTTTTGTTAAACAGTACCTTTTGTCGGAAATATCTTCGATCTAAGTTTGGTTTTGAAAAATGTTTAATGATATGTAAGTGGAAAATGCTCAAGGTACCTACAGTATATTTCTTAATCTAGACTAGATTTACATACGAAATAATCAAGTATTAGTCTAATGCAATGATGGACTAAATTAATTTACCTAAGTTAGGAAATCCAAAAATCCTATATTAAGCCTGTTTGTGGCAGTATCATAAAGTTGAATCATCAATGATATGACACACAGTGTAACTTTAAATGAATAATGTCTTAAGAAATCTAGCAATGAAATTGATATAGGTACACAATACGAATTATAAACATAACAAATAATTTTTATTAATCAATCCGTCTTATACTAGTAGGTCGAACTCTGAACACTAAAAAGCCCCGTTACCACCAACCTTGCTCCATTTTAAAAAAAGAATGTTTAATTTTTCTTTTTCAATGTTTTTTTTACGCCCCAATGAGTTTTGTTTACGATTGGAAAACTGGCTGAATGTAAATGCTTTTCGAATATGTTTACGTTTGTGAAAATTAAAACTTAAAACCATTTTGTAAGAATTATAGGAATAACAACTCTGAATATAAGTCCCGAAATCAATCATCTATAACTAACGTATTAAGTAGTACCAAAATATTTTTTTGTAGTTTTGTACCTTACCTCATTTGGGTTCCCGATTTGGTCTTGAAAACTATAGGTACTTCACACGATAGATAGAACGATTTTCATCCACAACACCAATCAATCAAATCACGACAAAAATACACCAGCATTTGTCATATTTGCCAACACTGTCATGACAAAGCAAAGGAAACCTTTCTAAATGCCAACGGCTAGTGATTTAAAATATGAAATACATTTGTGTCCGTGCGATCGACACGATATAATAATGGCCCACAAATGCTAGTTCGTAAATAGACGACCCAAATTCGAGTGCACGACTGGACTGCAGAACAAAGTTGTGTTCCACGGGATAGAGGACCAATATTTGGAGACGTAAGGGACACTAGGGACTTTTGAGGAGGGAAAATCATCCAGTGACTTCTCCCGCCTTGGGTTAGGCGAGAGGGAGTGTCAGACTGCCTAAATACCACCCCGTTCCTACTCCTGCTCTTCGAGTCGGAACTCCGGCAACCCGTTAGGCCTTCCGCGGCTCTAGGGACCAGGAACTGATTAAGTTTAATTTTCAAATTATACCTCAAGAAGTAGAAATAGTGTTCAAATATAGATGAATGGAATATTTATGAACAAATTATATGGAAGACAAATGAGTTTGTATTATACCGATATGTGATAAGAGGAAAATGAAAGAATACCTATTGCGCTATTCCTAAGTAATTTAGGCAGAGGATAGGAAACTAATGATAAAAAGGTAGAAAATGTCTTGTTTTGTAGATGCTTAAAACGAGAGTAGCGTAAAATAATAGTTTCAACTTTATTGCCGTTTGGTAGAAATCACGCCATTCTCGCCAAAGCTTTCAAAACACGATTGCACAAGCTAGATTTTGATTTTAATTATCATTTAATCGTCTTAATGAGTCTAAAATAGATTTTTAATGACAACTTTCAATATTATGAATAACGTCTAGCTTTTAAAGTTCATGGTCACTTTTGTTTAGGAGACTGAAGAATAGAGGTAGATAGCGTAGATACTGGCTACTTTTATCCTTTAACCACGCGAGTGAAGCCGAAGTGAGATAACAACTAGCAGTTACATAAATAATTTGTCCAATAAAACAACTATCGTACATCATACTTGCGCAAATTAATAATTCAGCAACAATTTCCAGCTGCATCGCCATGAATGTTTAATGAGATACTGAAATTCATACTTTATTGTTTCAGATCATCAGAAATGATCCATGTGGACGAAACGGATCCGGTGGGAGGTAATATTCAATGCTTTTGTTTATAAAATTAAATTCGTTCAAACAGTCCGAGTGAAGCCATTAAAAATACATCACGTGTAACGGATTTTAAATGCCGAAAGTATGACGTCACTTCTGTTTTGCAGACTTTTTTCAAAATTCGAAACAAACGACCGTTACCAACCGCCATGACAGTTAGATTGGGCAGTCTATTGTTTATTTTTTCAGGATTGAAATAATAATAGTGCTTGTCTAGTCTGTAAAAGAGCAGGCAGAGTTTGATTACCGTGTTGATAGGAAAATGTATAAATACTTCGTTAAACTTAATTACATTATTTCGATCTGAAAATGTCGTCAACATTTAATCAGACGTTACTCAGAATCTTGATTTACAAAATGTGGACTCCAGCATTTTCAAAGTCTCTTGAACTACGATGATTATCTTAACGTAGCGACAAAAATAGCTATCAAAGATCATTTTCAATTTGAGCATTCTATGAGCGTTTCCCGCCCATCATTTATACTGGAAGTATAAACGGCTACTCAGAACTAGAAAACCAGTACGAACCAGTTAATCAATTCAAAACATTAACAAAATGGTCCCAACGAACTTTACAAAAAGTGGTATAATAAAAATCGCAAAAACTCCATCCATGTCAACATTAATTAATAAATCTTAGCACTTGATTCATTCTGTTAATTCCTCAATATCTAGGTTACATCTAAAGTTATTTAATATTTATCATTACACATGGTAGTTAGATAAACTGACGACGGCAAAATAAAATAAAGTAAACAAACATAAGATTTTGGCAGGCGAGTGGAATCCGTCTGTATTTTCGACTCGACTGAATATTTGAAATCGTTAGTCCGATGACACGTTACATATTCGTCGTCAGTTCGTCACACGCGTCATGTGGACGGACAGTATTAAAACTAGCCATGTTTTTGTAAGCATTGTGACGGTTGTTACGTCATAAAGTTAGGTTATTTATACTGTATCTGTACCTATGTAATACGAAAGCATTGTTTTTCACGCCATTTTCCGATGGCAGATTTCATTAATAACTTAAAATGGAATTCCCACGATGTTAAATAAATTATTATGTTTTCGGCTCACGCAATTATTTGACGAGGAACTCGACTAGTTTCAAGCCATGCTAGAGGCTCATATTCATTTTCAGCATTTCGCCACCCGCGATGCGGCGACTGTCGCGTAAGCCAAAAACATAATAATTTATTTAGTATGTCTCACGAAAGTTATAATCCCACTATGTCGTTTATTAAACTCATTGTATTCATAATTAGAGGGCACGCTACTTTACTGACACTCGCATTCTATATATATTATATATTTAATTTATTCATATATTTAATTGATGTAAACACTAGTCTATATCCATAACATTTTCAATGTTTGTGTTTATATTGTTAATATGCCTTAATAAAATAAAATAAAGGCTATCGCTACACTGATGTTTTTGCCGTAGCCTGCAATACGTCTACATACAAATTGTGGCCAATATGGTGTATTGAAAACACATTTTTCATTAACTATTTTGTAAAAAAACGCATGCTGCATTACCTTTGGTGTAAGAAGGGTCAACGTGGCATATCTAGTGTGAACAAGCTTCGTCATTGAATATAGAAAAAATATCGTCCGAACTGGCATCCACCACCATTTTTTTATTGAATCCGTTAATAAAGTTTAAAAACCTAATCGATTGAGAGATTATTCATGTAGCTAGTCCCTTAATACATAGAAACCTAATAAGTATATGGGTAACATTCTTAGAACAAAAGCTAAGCTAATCAATACAGCAGAACATTCACAACAGAATTCCAACAACGTCCGGTATTCAGAAATGACGGGAATCGATCCAGGTATGCTGGAATTGAGTCCTGTAGCAATATTGTCCCCTATAGTCTAGACTCAAACATTCAGCCTTATTGTCAATACCACAGGTCTTAATCATAAGGCATTCTTGTTATGACTCATGTGTATATCCTGTGGTCCGTTCTTAAAATGGTTTTGTTACTTGTTTATGGTATAGCGAATCATTTAAAAAAAAAATTAATGCATTGACAACCGCCTTTTGAAAAATCCTCGTAGAATTCAACATAATATAAGTTTATATTGTAGGTAACGTAAGTAGATTGAAAATATGTTGACTTTACTTTAGTTATTAACTTATTACTTAATAGTAATCTAGTATTGTGCAATTATTTAGATGCTTAGTAGTTAATACAATTACGCAATCGATATTGACATTATTTTCGATAAAACTTGTAGATCAACAAATCAAAGTAATTTTTACAAAACAGTTTTAGCTATTCTTAATAACTCAGCTACATAAATCTACATTCATAAGTAATCAATTATACAAAATGAAATGAATGTACCTACTTATTTGATACGTAAAAATTCATACATTCCATGAACCATGAACATTTCATTTTGATCGTGAAAGAAAGGTGAATGACTTTCAACACGACACATTCAGTGTTATGGCATTTTACAAACACACACAGTCACACACACACACACACATATAAATACTTATTACATATATTCAAACAGTGGATGTGTTGCTATACATAAAAAACAATAAAAAAGAAATAAACAAATACAGATAATATAATGTTTTAAATAACATTTTCCGCGATATTTCCATTCACGTTATAAATAGTTATTGTATTTATATAATTCAGAAAACAATTGATTTAATAATAGGTGTTATAGGTATTTTATTTTCCTTTGCCTCAATGAACAATATAGCCATTTTTTAAATATCTATTCACATCACATATCTAATATTGAATAGCCTTTTTTATTTGCACGATATAAGTTTCACGATGTAGGTATATGCATAATATTTTTTTAAACGGCATTTATTGATATAGACAATAATGAAGTACTTATAATAGTTTTAATTTTCCGAAGACCAAAGTACATGGATTTCAGGATACGGTAACAACTGCATTCTTCGCATTCGCAGCCCATGTACTAAAATAGGGTACATATTTTTAACCGACTTCATATTTTAAAAATTGCTTAAGTATCGTCTGAAAAGCTTTACAATTAATAATCATTTATCAATAAAGTAACTTCGATAATAACTATTATTTATCAATAACAATAAAATAAATTAAAATGTAACGTAACGTATTGCGTATAAAAATGGAGACCGTAAACGAACAGACTGGACGCAAACTGCTGACTTCTTGGGGAATAACAAAAATATTTACATAGTTTTGCATAAAATTTGAGCTAGTTAAAAATATGCTAACAATAAAATAGAAACACGTGCCGTTTAGCAGCCAAATATCTCCCGGGTTGATACTAGGCAGAAGGTCGTCAGATCTTTGCCCGTCCGCGCCGGTTCCCATTCATAACTGTTTTATTTTTAAATTTCGTACGACGCAATAGAATTTGTGATTTGCGTTTTTACTGCTGGTCATATTGGTCTAATTAGTACGAAATAATTTGACTGTACGATTGGTGCGGTAGCTAAGCAACCGGCTGCCGTACAGCATATCGCGGGGTCGAGTCCCGCACGGAACAACACTTTGTGTGATCCACAAATTGTTGTGGATGAAAACTTGGAAATTTCTGAAATTCAGCACGTTTTGCAGTGTTTATTAGTGTAGGTATCTGCATTAATTAACTCGTCGAGTACCGGTTTTGTAGACACAATTATAGAACAATAGGTTGCGGTCACCGGTGACCGCTTTGTGTTTGACAGTTTAAATGCACAAATGACAGCTTAATTATTTTACTTAGATCTTTAGACTCCACTTCTTTGTTTCTTATTAGGTATGTACACAAAGCACCGCTAATTAGTTCGAGGCGCTACACATCGACATTACTATCATTTACACAGTGAACATGTGTGGGTAATTTCATATTAATAGATATAGAAACATTCGTTCTATCACACACATCTTGGTATTACATATCATTTTTGTGTCGGTATACGTAATATTTTAGTAAATAAGTTTAAATAAAAACGAGGGTAAAGATAAAAATACTCATAACAAACTTTGAATAAATCGAAATCAAAAATAATGAACGATCGAGCAATACAATACTTATATAAATATAGTGCATTCTCATTGTATTTTTATGTTACTGAATGATATACAATATTTCGATGTTCTCATCTACGGCGCGCTTGGCGCAATGGTTATCGCCTCCAGTGGTCAAGTAAAGTGCCACCGGATCGATTCCAGCATTCACATGTTGTTTTAGTATTAATTAATCAAATATTTGAAATGTGAAATTAGAAACAATTAAATCTTTTCTTTTTTTCCTATCCTATTTTTCTAAATCTTATGTTAATTTTAATAGTAAATACTTTAGATTTATTTATACCTATAATATCCTTTATTTATATTTTAGTTCTAGTTATTTATTATTTAGAATAATTTAGAATGATTGGAAGAACTTTAAAGTTAACATGTGGTATATAATTAATTATTAGATATAAATATTGAATATAAAACCACATATTTGTATAATTAATAAATTAATTTTAATAAAAAATAGTATTGTTTTATTTACCGACTGATTTGCTTCTTTTATAGCCTGATATTTATATTATATGACAAAAAACAAAAAAAAAATAAATAAGAAAAACAACAAGGTAAAATAAAAAAAAACTTTTAGCTGGAATAGAACCCACATCATCATTGATCCTTGAAAGACGATAAAAGCGTACTCATTAACCAATCGACCACGAGCACTACGATAATTACAGTGAAAATGTCGGGTCATATCAATGATTGTAAATAGTTTTAACCTTACCCATGCATTAAATTATAAAAATACGTATACCGACACAAGAATGAAAATACCAATGTGAACGTGGTGGACGAATATTTTTATACACAGTAATATGAAATTACCCACACATGTACATTGTGTAAATGACAGTATTGTCGATGTGAGCGTTATGAACTAATTAGCGGTGCTTTGTGTACATAAATATAAAAACAGCGCAAAATTTTAAATATTATCA